AGGAGAGATGTTTGCAGCAGTCTGTGTCGGTTTCCGTTAGCTTCCATGGGTTCTTTGCGTGAATGAATAAGCAATACCTAGTAGCTCAGAGCCTGCCATTCTCAAAGTGAAATCTGGTTCATTTCTTTCCTAAATGTATTCACTATACCATACATTTACCTGGATTAAAACTTTACCACTTTTCTAGGTTAGAAGGTATGACCAAACAGTTTTCAAAAGAATTGCAAAGTATTAACCACAAGAAAGAATGCTTCAAATCACTAACAGTAAGAGATACAAGTCAAAATAGGCCTGTAGTTTCATCTTACAAATTGCAAATTGGCAAAGAGAACAAAATATCTTGTCAACACAAACTACCTGGCCCTCACTGCCTAGAAAGCCAGGTAGGTGAGATGTCCCTCTTCCCCCAGTGTTCTCCAGTATCCTTACAGAGAATGAGGGCTACTAAGCTCTCAGCAAATGACTCCAGCTGCAGCCAGTGGCGCTCCCTCAATTATGGAGGATGGTCCGCCTTCACGCCATCGGTATTAACCACTAACAGGTGAGTTTTAGCACAGAAATGTTTACTTCAAAACCCGTAATCACAGATATAGAAACTTGATCCCCTAACACGTGGGACACACGCTCCCGCCTTAGACCTCAGGCCCTAGGGAGGGTAAGAGGATTCTGCTCATAGAGTAGGGTCCCATAGAATAGCAAAAAGAGGACAGCCAAGGGCATGGGATATTTTTGAACTGGGTTCCTTCCCTCCAGACTAAGACACCTTTACTTATTCCTACACTGCTGCCAGATTAGTCTTCCTAACACAGTGCACAAAACCTCCCAGTAGGCTCCCTCTTGTCCATTGAGTGAAGGCTAGACTCCTTACTCTAATTCTCAAGCTTTCTACAATCTGCCTCAATTCTACAATTTCTAGTTTTATATCAGCTCTACTAAATATAATCTATGTAGCATTCTGGACTACTCACCATCTTTTGGAGGCTGCCCATACTTATCTCCATGCCTTTACTCATTTCTTTGCCTCTGCCAGGAATTCTCTGCCCTCTCTGTCCCACCTCCATTTTGAACTTACTATGGAAACCTACTGATCTTTTAAGTCTGCTTAGATTCTTCCTTCTCCATAAAGCCTTTTCTGTTTATTCTCCCAAGCTAGAAGTGACCACTTCCTGCTGTGAAGCCACATCATTATCTCTATGATACGCTAGTTTAACGTCCACTTTAGTGTTGCGTGTACATGTACATGTCTAGTGTAGCCTTGATAAATTCTGAGTGGTCCTTATCCTAACATATCCAGAAGGCTGGATAGCTGCATCTCCCCATCAGGTTTCTAGGGATAACCCTAAGGGATAATGGGATTCTCTAATACTGTTGGCTCAAAGTGTCATTACTATGTGCTCTCCCTGACATTGGTCACCAGTGGTTGGCGCCCCAGTTTCATTTAACCAGTTGACATCAATTAGTTTTTAAAAAAGAAATATTTACTGAGAAGATGTAATAGGACCAGAAGTTCAGACATGTCCACCCAACAAAGGCGCGCTCTTCTAGACTGGACTGAAACATAAAGCAGTCATTACAAAGCATTTGTTCCATCAAGTTAACTCCAAATGCCCCATAGCCAGTGGACAGGGCATCTTATGGGGACTATCCCCTGCTGACTGAGTGCTGGATACTCTTTGGGGCTGTGCTGATGGACCAGATTCATGGACTGCAGCTCCCAGATCTCCAGTGGCTCCCTCAAGCCCTCCAGAATTCACAGAGTTGTGGTCTAGCACATTCTATACTACTTTAAGGCAGGAAAACATAGACCAGAGATAGAAATCAATAGCAAGGCCTTGTGTTCCATCTCCTCTGGTGCTACCTGTCTGCCCCCGGCATTAGGATTCTACCTGTCCTTGTGTCTTCACGGGAACATAGCTGAACCAGAAAGAGAAAGTGAGGCCACTTCCTTTGCTTGCTTTGGGCCTTTTCAAACACACTCGGTTTCAACTCAGTCGTGGTTAGGAGATCAGAAACAATCTTAGCATAAACTGTACATGCTCTGAAGCGAAGAACAGGGTCCTTCTGATATGTATGCCCAAAAGCAGGCCTCACCAGTCCCCGTACAGGTATGCAGCTCGCTCAAAGGACAGTCAATTCCCATTGGACAGTCCCTCTGTTACACTTATGGTTCCGCTAGTTCCTTGTGAGCAGTGACCAGTCTCATTTCTTTTGGTAGCTCTCCTACTCCATAATACTATGCACTGCAATATTGGACACAAGAAATATTTTTTGAATGGAATAGTAAAAATGTGAGACATTTCAAGTAAATGGGCACATAAAGTACATCTCATCTATCCTCATTTTTCATGATGTTTTTGAAGCTAGACACATAAACCATGTAACTTTTTAATTGAGATTATGTCTGCCCATCAAAGTAATGCACTGAGTCAGTCAAGCCAAGTGTCCTATTTTTAAAGACAGTGTTTAGAACCACTGCTATGCCATGTCTGAGGAGGAAAGGAAGAAGTCTGAGGTGCAGTGGAAAGAAAGTTGTATTGAGAGTTCGAAAACCTAGGCTGCCATTTGTTAAGGGTATCATATAACTTCAGTCAGTGTCTCAGGGTTGGCCCTCAAGCCCCTTCTGTCTCTAAATCAGTCATTCTATCCATTCATTCTTTTGTTTTCTCTTTACTTGTTTGCTTTCTTCCATCACCACCACCACCACCACCACCCCCTCCTGAATTTTCTCATGCACATAATTTAACTTTGGGAACAATGCTTTTTTATGAGGCCACTGGGAGTTGTAACAATGAAAACATAATGAACATACTTTATATGTCATGAGCACACTCTTAAGTGTCTGCACACCATGGAGTCCAAGTCTAATTTCTGATCTATGTGTTTTATCTCCTTCCTATGTATGTTTTTTTAATATGGAAAATCTTCAATAAACATTATTTTAATAAAAATGAGACAAAACTATATAACATTATAAAGTCTTGTAAGATTCAAGAAATATAGCAGAAGGCTAAAAAATAACACAGACGATAAACCAAACAAAAACACTTACAAAATGTTGGCATTAAATTATAAAATATTTTCAGATTAGCCGATGAGTGTGGCATAAAAACTTTAAAATAATGAAATACTGACACCAATACCAATACCATTTGAAGTCAGCATAACAGTTATGGTAGCTTCTGTATGGACACAGAGTGGAACAGATTTCTGAGATAACCTGTTTTAGTAAGACTAATGAGTCACTGCAAGTCAGGAGGCCAAGAGGCCAGGTCCTTGCCCTGACCTTGACTGTGTGACTTACACACTGAGCAAGTCGTTTAAGTCCATCAGTCTCAGGCTCCTTAGCCTTAAAATGAAGGAGCTAGACACAGTGGCTACAGTGCTGTCCTCTGGCTCTTAAGCTCCATGATCTGCACTGGGAAAGAGATTTTGTTAAATTTTGGAGTTAGTGGAAAATAGATTCAGTGCACACTTGATAGGAAGCATAAATGTCATTTTCCTTCTAAATGGTCACTTGATTTTCGGTGCACTTTCTTTAAATGTGGTGGATGACAAAAAGATGGTCTCTTAAGAGAGCCAAGCAATCGATCAGTCAGTCACCAAGCATTTGGTAAGTACCTACTATGTACCAGAAATGGGACTTGCCTTTAAGCTTTTATGGCCAAAAACTGCACTAAAGGCTTTTGGGACACCATATATATTTTTCTTTTACATAGCTGTTTTTCATGTCTCCTTGAAAGCAGGGACTGTTGTGTTTTTTTTTTCTTTCTTTCTTTCTTTGTATCCCCAGCACTTAGAACAATGCTTGGCACATAGTAGGTTCTTAATAATGCTTGTTGACTGATTGATAAGGTGATTTTTTTGGTGGGGGGCAGGAGGCACTAGTCACTGGGGACATCAGGAAAGGCCTCATCCTGATTGATTTTAGAAGATGCAACGAGGTACCAATGTCAGATGCTTTTCTATGTGACCCAAGATGATCTGTTTCCATCTGACTCTCATACGTTGCATCAAGACCAGTTAGATGTGGAAAGCAGCTTGGTACAGTGAAAAGTTTGGAGTTAAAAGAAAAAAAAACTAAATACAAATTCTGGCCATGATATTTCACAGTGTTGTAACCTTGAGCCAAGGTCATCATCACCTCTTTGGGCCTGTGTCAACTTTGAGATTCCTATGTTTTTATGATTCCTTGTGATGCTGGATCAAACCAAGATTTCATCTAGGCCTTTGAAGGCATCTTTGATCCAATTTCTCAAGACTTTTTACGTTCTTTAATCTCCACCAGAATGCCTGGTATATAATAGTCCAATGTTACTGCCCCAGATATACAAAAATCTCAATGAGAGGGGGAAATGGTAGCAGAAAAAAATTAGGACAGTAGCTTATCACCACAAGTTTGATATTTTGGGGGCCCATCTCTTAAGGTCTGAGTGGGTATTTCTGTCTCTCTTTCTGGAGGAGGGGAATTCAATCTGAGTCGCTGGAGCAGTGTCCATATGAATGAAATTACAGACCTTTTGAAGTTCTGAATTAAGTCCGTTTTTCTTTTGGTAGGGCACACCCTGCAACAGTCCATTTACTCAGACTGGGAGTCCTTATGTCCTGTTTTGTCTGGCCTTTTGTTGTTCTCCAGAATGTGTTTTTCACAAGAAAACTATGCCAAGAGTTCAAATACTTTTAGTGATGGAATTTTTTTGGTGATAAGACTGTGGCCACTGGTTGTTTTAAAACATATTGATTTTAGATCAGAATTGTATTGCTCTTGGCCAAAGATCTTGCAAGACTGACTTAAAAAGAGTAGACATATTGAGATCTTTAACACCTATTTCACTTGGCTCTCCTTTAGAGACTATATATATTGTTACTATATCTTTAAGGGGCAAATAGAATGTTAAGAAAAGCAGTTAGAGCTCCCAGTTGGAAGTCAGTTGAAGAATGTCTTACTATGAAGTGTTCCTTCCTGTGGAATTAGAGAGAGGGGTGTGTGTGTGTGTGTGTGTGTTCTCTGTGATCTGGGAGGATCAATGAAGTAAAGAAGACAGAGGGGAAGAAGATGAGGTGAAACTTCTTTCTCATCAGAACGATCTTAAGTGTTATGTTCCAAAGAAACATAGAATTGTGTGACGTATGAGCAACTGGCAGATATGGTGGAATGCATTTTGGAAAGGCTTTCTGTTGATTATTGAAGAAAAAACAAAAGAAAATTAACTAATCGAGCTCATTTCTTAAGACACTGAATTTGATTATTATCTTGAGGAGAAATATGACAATTCAAAGCCATTAATCAGCGGATGGAGTGAATTGCTTGGTGAAATTATGTTTTTCAAGTGATGAGGAATCATCTGCTGTTAGAGTGAGGGTTTGAGGTGACCCTGCCTATAATTTTTTGCATAGCTGAAATAACTGTAAATAGCTGTCTATGTCTGTTTCATTTTTTATTTTATTAGTTAATATATAAGAGTAATTACTTTTAGGAAAGGAGGTTTCTCCAGTTAATGAGATAATATTTAATGAACTGGGGTGAGGGCTCAAGCTAATTAATTAAAGAGAAAGAGAGTATAAGTTTATTAATTAGAAATAAATTATCCAGGTGTACCCCCTGGATTGTTTTGAATCTTGGCAGGAAAAAGTACAGAAGAAAATGAGTCACTTGGCAGGATGAGGGGTGACAGTCAAATGAGGGGGGTCAACACTGCCAATTTACCTTGATACATGTGAGGGCGTGTCCATTCCCCTCAGATCTGCTCTAGGCTGTGGGCGCATCCAGGATTTTTAAATATTTTTGCTTACCCATAAGTATTTATTCACAGAATCTATACGTGCCAGGTCTCTAGTAGTGCAGACAATTAATGACATAACTCATATGTTGATTAGCTTAGTCTTTTTGGTTTTCTGCGTAAGATTATCTATTTCCTCTCTTTTGAAAAATTGAAACTGATGAGGTTAATAAGTATCATATTGTTTTTGAAAGGAAATTCGCAGGGATCCTTCAAAGGCTGCTGCATTTAAAATAGATGATAAAGATAAAATCAGAGAGGAAGTTTGTGAATGTAACATAAGGTGAGGAGAATGATGATAAGGGATAGAGAAGCCTCAGAGACAATCTAATCTGCTTTAGGGGTCCCCTTGTTTTACAAAGGGCTGGGGGCGGTACACGGTACTTGGCCCAAGTAAGTGGCAAAGAGCCAGGATGGGAGCCCAGCGCCTCTGGCTCTTAAGTCTAGTACTCTTGTTAGCGCACCAATATTTGAGGGTTGATTTCATGAGATGGATAAGCATCCAATTTTTTTTTTTTACTGTTGTGTCTAAAGGAGCTTCAGATTCATTTTTTGAAGCAATTAGAGGAGAGAAAATCCAGTCATCTGTGACAGAGTAAGTAACTTCCCTTTTCTGGTATCATTTTGGAGCAGGCCCTAGGAACTTGTGGCCTTCTTCTAGATAGACAAGGCGGATGAAAAGAAGAACAACTCCTGGGCTCCCCGGGTACAGATTCACTGGCTGAGGAGGAGCCAGTGCATCTTTCTCTTGTCATGGGCAGCTGGGGAACGGACAAGCCCAAAAGCTCTCGCCACCTTGTGGTATCCAAGCCTAGGAGCCGCACTGTTCTCCACCCCATTCAGGCCTCCAGAGTAGGACGACCAGAATGGTGAAGGGATTTGAGACCAGGCCGTATGAGTATTGGTTAGAAACGGAGATGTTTAGTGAGGAGAAAAGACGATTTGGGAGTGAGCTGGTCAGACATGAGAACCAAGGTCAAGTGTTTGAAGGTCTGTCATAAGGAAGAGAGATCAAGTGTGCTCCATTTGCCTCTCCTTCAACAACCTCTTTTCTTGCCCCTGGCCAACCCAATTCTTTGGGCCCCACATGCTCACCCCTCCTCTGGTGGTCAGTGTTCTGGACAGGGATACCCATCAGACTTAAAACCAAATCCATAAGCATTTATTAATCGCTTACTGTGTATCAGTCACTATGCTTAAACGCTGGGGATACAAAGAGGCCAAAACATGGTCCCTGCCTTCAAGGAGCTTACAGTCTAATGTGGGAGACAACATACAAACAACTATGTCATACAAGACAGAATCAGGGTAAGTGAAAGCTAATCTCAAAGGGAAAGCTCTGGAGTGGAGGGGGAAGACATTGGGGAAGTCTTCCTGTAAATGGCAGGATTTGAGCTAGTCTTGAATGAGGCCAGGAAAGCGAGAGGGTGCCAAGCCATATCTGTTCCTAACTCTACCACAGCCCTTGCCTGATGTTCAGCTCCAATGCCAGCACCAACCACGTCCTCTGAGGATGCCCAGTCACCTGACATTCCTCTTCCTCTTGGGATGGATCTGAACTTTCATTTTCAATCAGTGGTTGACCCCAGCAACAGTTTATCCTCCCCATAGCTCTGCCCAAGCCAATGTGGACCCAATCCTGTCATCTAGACTATATAAGAATACTCACTAGCAAACAAATGAAGCTGCTCGGTGGCACTCCCCCCAAATGCCTGCAGCATCTCCTGCAATGGGGAAGGGACCACTCTTTCTTTCAGATGACTGGAGGTCATTGCCTGGACCCTGTACCTTCAGTGGGTAATGTTATTGCTCTAAGAGCTTTAGCACCCAAGTCCCTGTGCCATTCTTGTTACTCCATCTAAGCCAAGGGAGGTGGGGGATTGCCTTCATGAAACATACTGTTATCAAAATGTTGACCATCGCCATGCAAATGACATGCTCTGGGCCATCCATGCCCTGACCTTCTTCCAACATCTTTCCAAAAGAAACTAGAAGGAACTTAGAAAATATCTGATTTGGCTAAGAGGGATAGGACCAAATATGGTTGGTAGGTGGCATATCCACCATGAGTTCCCTTTGCATCAGTTCTGACCTCGTTCTCCATCTTTAGCTTCTCAGTGTTTAGCACGGAGCACCAGCACTCTATGGATGTGAAAACAAGGTCTTTGGGGTTGTTTATACTAAGTGCTAACCAGGAGGACTGAGTATGTGCTCACAGAGCTTGCATTCAGCTAGGAAAGAGAGCTCAGAAACTGGTGTTTCTGTTGGTGCCTGGGAGGATACTTAAGAAAGAAAACCTACCCATGAAAAAGTTTTCTTCTGTGCCCCAATAGCCCCATCCTAAAATTAGCTATAGTCAGAAAAAACCACACGCTCACCACCTTTCCGCCAATGGTGCTGGCTGAAATGTCAATGTCAGACCAACCAGGAACAGTTTTACTTGGTGGTCATGCAGTCACCAATCACCACCATGCTTCTTCCCTTCTCAACTATAGCTATAGAACAAATACATGGCTCCAGGCAATAGCTTGAAGATGTAGACTCATCCATAGTATAAGATTCACCATCACTCCACAAACTTGGGGGGAGAAGAGAGATATCTGCCTGGGGCTAGGACATCCCTGTGAGGCAAAGCCCCCCAAATGTCCCAGTGGTTATGAGTTTGTATCCAATCTTTGTCCAGCTTGGAGAAGCGAAGGCTCAGGGGGGCAAATGTTCTGTTTTCTTTTGTCTAGGAAACTTTCTAGAAAGTTTCCAGATGTATAATCAGTGAATCTTCCCAGCCTGAGCCTCTGCTCTTTGAAGATTTCAGGCAAGTGTTTTCTTAGTCCTCAGTACTTGGAATATGGTGATAGCGCCATATGCCTTATGGCATATAAGCGCTTTGTTGGACATCAAGGACTGTCTCCTTTTGGTGTCACCAGTGCCTGGTGCAAAGTAGGTTTTTAATAAAGGTTCACTGAATGAATGTTGTAGGATGCATATTTCCATTGAAATAGATGTATTTGATATTTAAATACCCTGCCTTCATCGCCTGGTATAACATTTACACCCTGATGGAACTGAAGCAGGGTGGTATGATGGTAGCCAGATTCAAATCTCAGCTCTGCTACTTGCTAGCTGTTCAGCCTTCAGTAAAGCCATTGAACCTCATAAGGCTTAGTAGGTTCCCTCCTCTTTAAAATAAAGGGCTCAGGGGGTGGAGCCAAGATGGCAGAGTAAAAGCAATGACTTGCTTGAGCTCTCCCTCAAACCCCTCCAAATACCTGTAAAAAATGGCTCTAAGCAAATCTAGAGCAGCAGAACCCACAAAAAGACAGAGTAAAACAAATTTCCAGCCCAAGACAACCTGGACAGTTGATTGGAAAGGTCTATCATGCCAGGCTGGGAGACAAATGCAGTTCAATGTGGGCGCGCAGGCTGGAGCGAACCTGGAGCAAGCCTCGGAGGACTGAATCACGGGTAGCTGCGGTGGTTTCCAGACTTCTCAACCCACGAATGCCAAAAACAACTTAGAATGTCAGTGGGAAAGTCTGTGACTGTGGTGAAAGAGAGCTTGGTCCCAGCCCCAATCCCCAAACACAGCCCCGGGGTGGCGGCTGCCTCTGGAGCTATTGGCCCACAGAATGAGGGGGAATTGAGTGGCTGATCAGAGGGGGATTGCAGGGATCTCTCTGCTGGTGCAGGATTCTCTTGCTTTGCCTGTGCTTGGATCTGGGTCACAGTTCTGGGTGATGGTCCCGGGGCAAGGGAGGAGTGCTGGCATAGTGGAGTTTGTAGTGGTAGTGAGGAAGAAATCCTTCTCACAGTTTTAAGACAGAAAAGAGTGTTTGTGGTCACTCATAGACCAGAGCGTAGGCCAGGAAAGCAGTAAACACCTTGCCCTTGAGCACAGCACTTGGAAGAACTGAAAATCTACAGGTCCCTAGAAGTATCTCTGAAAACAGCTGCATAAACCCCCCGAAGCTTGGGACAGTACATTCTCCACACCAGAAGCAGACCCCTACCTTAACAAAGAGTTTATAACTCAAGTAATTGGCTGGGATCATGAGCAAGCAGCACAAAAAGATTCAGACCATGTAATCTTACTTTGATGATAAAGAAGATCAAAACATACAACCAGAAGAAGACAACAAAGTCAAAGCTCCTACATCCAAAGCCTCCAAGAAAAATATGAATTGGTCCCAGGCCATGGAAGAGCTCAAAAAGGATTTTGAGAAGCAAGTAAGAGAAGTAGAGGAAAACTGAGAGTGATGCAAGAAAATCATGAAAAACAAGTCAACAGCTTGCTAAAGGAGACCCCCAAAAATAGTGAAGAAAACAACACCTTAAAAAATAGCCTAACCCAAATGGCAAAAGAGGTCCAAAAAGCCAATGAGGAGAAGAATGCCTTAAAAAGCAAAATTGGCCAAATGGAAAAGGATATCCAAAAGCTTGTTGAAGAAAATACTTCCTTAAAAATTGGAATGGAACTATTGGAAGCTAGTAACAACATGAGAAATCAAAGCATTGTAGAACTAATCCAAAAGAATGAAAAAACAGAAGAGAATGTGAAATATCTCATTGAAAAAACAACTGACCTGGAAAATAGACCCAGGAGAGAGAATTTAGAAATTATTGGACTATCTGAAAGCCATGATCAAAAAAAGAGCCTAGATATCATCTTTCAAGAAATTATCAAGGAAAACTACCCTGATATTTTAGAACCAGAAGGCAAAATAGAAATTGAAAGAATCCGCCAATCACCTCCTGAAAGAGATCCCCAAAGAAAAACTCCTAGGAATATTGTAGCCAAATTCCAGAGTTCCCAGGTCGAGGAGAAAAGCAAGCAGCCAGAAAGAAACAATTCAAGTATTGTGGAAACACAACCAGGATAACACAAGATTTAGCAGCTTCTATGTTAAGGGACCATAGGGTTTGGAATATAATGTTCCAGAGGGCAAAGGAGATAGGAGTAGAACCAAGAGTCACCTACCCAGCAAAACTGAGTAAAATCCTTCAGGGGAAAAAATAGTCATTCAGTGAAATAAAGGACTTTCAAGCATTCTTGATGAAAAGACCAGAGCTGAATAGAAAATTTGACTTTCAGATACAAGACTCAAGAGAAACATGAAGAGGTAACAGGAAAGAGAAATCATAAGAGATTTATTAAGGTTGAACTGTTTACATTCTGCATGGAAAGATGATATTTGTAACTCTTGCATCCTTTGTCAGTATTAGAGTAGTTGGAGGGAAAAAATTATATGTATGTAAATAGATAGATAGATAGATAGATAGATAGATAGAAAGAAAGATAGATAGATAGATAGATAGATAGATAGATAGATAGATAGATAGATAGATAGATAGATATGGCACAGGATGAGTTGAAGATGAAGGGGTGATATCTGGAGAATAAAATTAAGAGGTGAGAGGATTATACTGGGAGAAGGAGAAAGGGAGAGGTAGAATGGGGTAAATTATCTCACATAAAACAGACAAATAGGCTTTTGCAGTGGAAGGGAAATGGGGGAAGGTGAGAGGGAATCAGTGAATCTTATTCTCATTGGATTTGGCTTAAAGAGAGAACAACATGCATACTCAATTGGGTATGGA